GCAATTCAATGAATAAAAATTATGCATTTCTTTCCTCCTTTACCATATAATAGTCAATTGTTTATTAAAAAAAAAACTAAAATATGCGACACGGCAATCATTAATGGCTGCCATATCTTATAGATAAAACATTAAAACAATATCTCGATTAGCCCATACCTAAACTCCGGATTATTTGTTCATATAGCAAACACCGCATCTTAATCTATATAATACAGGGACTTCGTCTTTGTGGCGGTATGCTACGTTGCTTTATTACCTAATTTTATACTACATTCATCATAGGAAGCAAAAATAAAAAAAATAAATGGAAATGAAGATTTAATATTGTGCTGTGCTTATTTTAAATGATATACAAATTTCTAAAAAAAAAAATAACAACTTTTTTTTTAGAAATTTCTATACCATTCAACCATTTAACTGTTTTGATGAATGAATTTGCAAACCTTATTTACGATAATATAAAATTATGTAAATTACATTGCGTTGGATACCTAAAATACCCTGTGAATTTTAATTTCCGCTTCCAATAATGAATAATAAGGCTCCTTTTTTAAAAATGCAAGTAATGACGCATCCTATGCAAGCGAAAACTAATTTGTGGTCAGTGTGTTGGAAGATATTGGAAAAGAACTGAGATACGCGTCATATTTGAGCTATTAAATAATATTAAATAAAGGAACAACAAAATCACTACGTGTTTTAAATGGACTGTTCCACTGAGTTTCCTTAATTTTTTTTTATAAATAATTATTAAAAACTGATAATTTTATAAAACACATGTCATTAGAACAGAATTTGAGCAGACTTCAAGAAATGAGAAGGTTTACAATTCGACTGTTTTCTTTTTTTTTTAAGTAAAAAATTTACTATTTAATTCTTTAACATTATCTCAAATGTACAGAATTGTGATGACCGCAGACACAAAATATTTTTTTATAATTGCCATTATAACTACAATAATAGTTAAAATAAAATATGTCTTAATGTAGTAAGAGTTGATTACAGTTTACGACTATTATTGCTAATACAGTGGAACAATCTAGACTTAAACAATTTCCATTTACCATATTTCACGCTTCCTCTCATAAGAATGATTACCAAATATAAACATTTGTGAACGAACAATAACACGACGATATATTACCTATTTAGAACTTTATATATACAGACATCATGATGTGATGCATTTATAATACTAATTAATAAGGCCTAATATACATATTACATACCTAAAATATTATTACTACATATTAAATGCAAACTAGTTTGGATTGTCGTTCCAATTTATTATGCAACTTATATATACGCTATTGTTTTTGCGAAATTAGGCTATTATCAAAATAATTGCTTTTTTTAACCAAACATTAAGGCAGATATTTTCATTTGGAAAAGAAAATCAAGGGCTTATTTGTTAATCTAGATGTGATTTGTTAAGCCCAGAGAATATGATGAAATACCTCATTCCTACTATTCAGGTGTAGCATCTCTGCTCCATCCTGACAAAAGAATGAGTATTGCTTAAGAAATCTGTGCATCGCATTGGATAGTTTCCGATTATTCGTGCAGTAATTTTATCCATGTGGCACATAAATGGCACATATCTATATTCATATATTCTCGTATAATGCATCGTCACCCCAGAGTACTAAGATGGAATGCCTCATTACTTTTTATTAGCTATGTTACTTTTTTACGCTCGTACTTTGGTCCTTCCCCAGTTGAATTGACCACAATTCCTCTACAGCATAATGCTACACATAACACCATGTATAGGAGGTTGTTTACCGGCTGATGATGAGCAAAAATAGAAGAGCTTTGTTTCTTGTCAACCATATAATAAACAAATCACTTGCTAAATCTAATACTCTTCAAACATTTAAAAGAAACGGACAAGTCGCACAAGTGCGAGTAGGACTCGCGCCCTGAGGGTTCCGTATAAACTTTACTATGTATGTGGTTAGCTCATCCATCCCGGAAATCATAGGTAAAGTAAGCAAAGCAACGAACATTGCTTTTAATGAAATCGGATTGAAGAACAAACTAACTTTGCTGTGGAAATTATGTTCTTTCATACATTGATCTACATCGACGTTGATGCTCCAACTAAGAATATAGATAATTTTGTTAAATATTATTAAATAATATTTTTTTATGTGATATATATTTGAATTTTTTTCCTTTACTTGTACTGTGAGATCTTGCTTCTTGCCAAACTTCATAATTCTAGATCGACTGGAAGTACCCTATAGGTTTTGATAAGTTTGCAAGTATCAAATGACAAATGGTCTTATCTTTTGATTACGCTAACTTAGAAGCTTAATTTTTTTACAACTCCAAGGGACCCTAAGACAGTATTAGATATGAATTTCAACTTGATACCTCTATCCGTTCTTGAGAAAAATGGGTCTTAATAGACAGACAACAAAGGGATCTTAAATGGCTCCAGTTTTTTGTGATCTACAGAACCCTAAAAAACTTAATATGACAATGCCTCCATCCCATAACTAAAGGAAGAAGCGACACGGATTATATTGCCTTTCACTTTTACAGTAAACATTTTCGATCTTATTACAAAACGTAGTTTACTGATGACCTCGGATTTGAAGAAGAGTCCTTATCATGAAAGAAGTCACTTAGCCGCGGTACCACAGTTTTCAAGAAATTCGACATTTGCTGACAAATTCCATAAATTACATTCTAGTTTGTATATTTTCCACTGGACTTTTTTATTAAAGCAGACTAGTTTAAACCTGAGACTAATTATAAATTATTTTTTGTAAACACGGCTTTTCAGGTCTCCAAGCCGGCAACACAAACACAATAACCTAATTTCAAAACACAGCCATTGTGTAACAAAAAAATACCTTAAAATTTTCCAGTGCTCAAAACTCACACATAGGCAACTACAACCAAAAATAAGATTTAGTTATGTGAAAAGGATCCAAAACCAAAATAGGGTCAAAATGAGTTACAAAGATATTAAAGCATGTAGTAAAATAATTTTAACTTAGTCCAAGTGATAAAAAATTACGAGCAAATTGAAATGTCATATCATAATACCATTTATTATATTATTAATAGGTAGAAACTTCAATATCTCAAAAATAGCTATTTGTGGGATCCTTTTTTCATAACTACATCCTAAATAATCGAATGCAAACAACTCCTTGTTTTCATTATTACATTGTAATAACACCTAAAAGCAATATACTTGCTAAATCCCAAAACTTGCAAATGATTTAATTTCATGATATTTTAATATGAACACATATAACACTTATTACTCTAAATACAATAATTTTTATTATATGTAATAAAGGCCACATAACAACTAAAATAGCTCTATCATTAGAACTTGGAATCTCTATACAGAACATTCCTCTCTCAAAACTTCTGTATCAAAATAAATTATATTTCCTTAATTCCCCTACACGTACATACATAATTTAAGTTATTTAAATGTAGGTGAAATGGAGTGACAGTAATCCCATCTATACTTTGGCATGCACATCTCGTTTCGACATCCAAGAAAATCTATGTGTCCTGTGTGAAAACATGGTCTAAACATCTTAAACTCACACACCACACAGGAAGCTTAAAAAGAAAGATATGTGGTCTTTATTCACATAGTTGTCTCTTTCATATCGTATTACGGCCGAAATGTGTATCGCACGTTTAGTATATAGAAAATAGCATTTTAAGACTGCGTGTATATTACGGAATCTAGCAATGAGTAAAATATGTATTTAGGACTCTTCACGATTTTTGTCATAAAATTGTACCACATTGTTGGGGATTAAAAAATTAAAATTTAACGCGCGTGATAAAATCCGTAAAATCATATCTTGCAATAAGGTTATTGATCTGTGGTCAGTTTTTACATAAGTAAAAATATATTTTTTTTTAAATTATTCATGCAATATGAAACAATACATATGCAATATATAAAATCACAACTACTCACAGAATGTTTTAAGATTCATTTACTAACGTTCATTTTGCAAGGAAACCGGAAAATATTCTTTAGGGGAATTGGCAAGTTATAAAGTCAGTTTTAAGAAGGGCAGGTTTTAAATCAATTTTTGTTTAAATTTTTAATGGAATTACAGTTTTATTTACAAAATTTTACATTCATGCCAATATTTAGAAATGTGTTCAAGGCTAATGTTCCATACAATCGATAATACAAGTTGCAAAATATAAACAACATTGTTCTTATATAAATTTACACTACTATTTAAATATTTACACTTATATACAAATGTAACATAATTTACACAATTTAGATTGTAATTCCCAATCCATAGGTAACTAGCGCCTGTCTCAATGCTTTGGTTTTAATGAAAATTTTGGTTTGCGCTTTATATATCAAATGGTTCTTACATTTGCTGAACTTGAATTTACTATGAAGCATCAATGAGACTCAAAATATTGTTTAGAGGAATCTCAATTCAACATCTTCAGTCGCAATTCCAACAAAATGGCAGATTAACATTACTGCATCTTAAATACTTTTAAACCTTGCTTTATAGCCATTTTGTTTTTAATGTTTATATATAAATTTATATAAATATATTTTATATAAAATTATATTTGCCAGTATGAATACCGCATTAATGTATTAACTGCTTTAACTTCATGTCTTAATTTGCTTAAGTAGGAAGCTCAAATAACTATACGGCTATATAATAGCAGTTTCTGCTCTCTTCTTGCACTTACCATCTGCAGGTCACACATTTAATTGTATTTAAGTAAGGTTTACATTATAATAGTAACACCACTTTGTATGTAATGTTACATGAGGCAAAAAGCTATTAGCATTTTCATTCAGCTAGTATTCAATGTAGACAGTCAAGTTGGCACATGGTCAGCATACTTTAATACACTTCACTTTAAACCCATTCGTATTTAATAATCACTATTGACTGGCAACACTAAGTTTGAAAAGCACCATCAACCTATGGCTATTCATAATAACCATAGAAATACTCCATGTACTATTTAACCTGTCCAACTGCCTCTTGACTCGTTTCATTTGACTTAAAACCACTTTCCATCTTGTATGGTTCACTTTTAAAGCTAGAGTCCGATTGGTTGGAAGACTCATTCTGTTTGAAGTTGGAATCTTTGTCACAATCATTGGAGGTGAAGCCATAAGACTTTGGTTTTGTCTGTTGGTCTTGCTGCTCACGCTGCTGCCTTCTCCTTTGTTTCGACCAAAGTTCATGACAGTCTTGCCATGTGGGTAACTCTGGAGCAGGCATTCTGAAGGCAAAATACATGTTATTTAAAAGAAAGAAATATGTTTTATTTGTCATTGTAACTACTATCTTATTTTCTATCTTTATCTACCCTCAAAAGTCCCCAGCTGAATATATGCCTCTCCCGTCGGAGGATTTGCCACATGTCACTGTTGGCAGGCAGATTCACAATCATACTATGATTCAACACTGTCCATCACCAATTGGGATATTTCACGTTTAACGTAAACGAAAATATCATACTGGCATCTATCGGAAGCCATTACGTCTTTCTGGAATTGCCCATTGACGCCTCTTAAGACACCCACAGGATGAAATGGGTAAATGTCAATTAGCCAATATTACAACTCAATTAGATATTTGTACATTTACATATGCATTGTGGTAAGAAAGTATCTTATAATGATGTGTACATCTGAGAAGACATATCCTTTGTCTAAATAATTTTGTATTTTGTTTGTAACTATGTATATAATGTATATATTGTCGATGGTGTATCTATCTATCTAAATAAATAAATAAATAAATAGGCATCTAACTCAGCTTTTATACTACTTTATGCATTGAAAAATTTGCAATGCAAATTTGCAGACCTAATTATACTTTAACACATTATTAGCAAATTATTTGATTTGATTTAATATAACCACACAAATGAAAAATTTTACAGCTGTATAAATTGTTTTAACAATACATTTCAAAATGTATAAATAATTTTAACAGCAAACTGCTAATCTTGTTACCATCAAAACTAACTAAATTTTTTTTTAATAATGTTAATATGGAATTGGAGTTATAACACCTTAAAAATATCCCTCAATACTTACTGTTCTGGCACCACATTTTTCAACCAGGGGCTTTTAAGTGCTTCTTCGGCGGTAATTCTTTTATCTGGATCAAGTTCCAACATCCGGTCGAGTAGATTTAATGCTGGGCCGGGCATAAACGCGAACTGTTCCCTAACACAACGCTTGTGAAATCGTTTTGGTCGCAGGGTGTGCCATAGTGGAAGATTAACAACATTAGGCCACACGCCTGGTACTGGGGTACCACAGACTCTAGAGATCATTTCCAATTGCATCATCTCTACACAGGCCTGAAAATAATTGATAATTTCTTTAATTTTAATTTTACCTTAGTGAAACAGTCACTGCAGAAAATACAAAACCTAAAAGTTAAAAAAAATGAGAGCATGTCTTTTTTGGGCAATGTTGAAATAAAACTTCATTCAATAAAATTTATTCATTCAATACAGGCCATCAAAACAAAATCCACTGCTGAACATAGGCGTCCCCCATTGATGGGGGAGGGGGGTGCTTGGCAACCATTATTAATACTGCTGCATCTCTAGCTTCATCTCCATCTGTCGCCTCTTACGACAACTACGGGATTATATGGGCGTAATGGATTCTCTTACGCAGTACCAACACGGCAAAATCGGAATCACTGTGCGTGAGTTCAAGGTTTTGTCACTTGAAAAGTATATAGTCTATCTCTCTTTATTGGTCTGTTTGTATAAACTTTCCCGCGTTAGGCCATTGTTTTTTTACGCACCAAACGGCGGGGCTTGTTCGGAAGGTCGCCCGACACTGGCAGGCGCTAATGTTAACAATGATATCTTTTTTTATTCTGTACGCCAGCTATATATAAAACTTATACGTATCGAATCGTTACGAATTAAGCAATTTAATTGTAAATGAATCATTGCAATTCTAAGTTTGATTGACGTAATTTTTGCCGGTTTCTTGAACATAAATGGTAAGGAATAAGAAATTTAACCATTTATATAAAAGGGTATTTGTTTTATTAGCATGACGATTTTATGATTATTATTATTATTATTATATATTATATGATTCTATCAAAAGAGATTAAAAAATCACACCTCTCAATACATATTTTTTTTTCATACTACAATCTTTTTAATATCTACCTCATTTTACGCGACAAAATAAAAACAGGTAACCACAATCGAAATTTGTATGCAGTGAAGTTCGGTTATGGCGACACAATACGGCCTTGTCTTTAAGTATATTATGTTGTTCAAATTAAAATCACGTTTATTTTAGAAATAGCTTGGAAGCTACACTTCATTAGCAGGGGTTATTTATAAACAAGGTATCCATTACTGTTGTAACAACCCTTTTGGATCAATCATTATTAATCCTTTCGCTGCCGTGTCAGTTACTTTGTACGGAGTTTTGCATTTAAAGCATGACTAACGGCAGTATGTATTAATTAAAAAAATTTAACTTTGTGATTGATAGAACTCGTATATAGCGTTATTTTGCAATGACCGGCCAAATTTGCAGAGAAGGTTCAGAATACGTAATATAGGCAAATGGTAAAGAAAAATTAATTACAAAAAATCTCAAACATTCTGTCCATTTTATCTTTTAAATTTAAAATGTGTTTACTGCGCACGCAAACATTCGTAAGGGTCGATCGGTAGGCAAAAACGTTGTTGCCCATAAATCACATTCAATTTGGGATAATCTCAAATAAAAGCGCCTTCTTTATTCGTATTTTCAAAAACTGCAGTAACGGTTTATCATTATTTACATATTTGAACTGAAATTTAAAATTTGGCTACTCTTTGAAAAATAACCCTGTATGTGTATGTATGTGTGTCTACAAAGTTGACTTGATTGTTGATAGTGCTTACAGAGGAGGAAAATAGGTACATTAAATTTTAGTAAATATAGTACTTTGTCAGTCAGTGTAATATTAATGACATACAAATGAACATTAATGCCTTTGGTATAACTTTTGTGCTTGACGAATTTAAGCTGACACTTTCAAACAACGTGCATAATTTAGTATTTCCTTTTTTAAATCTGAACCTCATAAACCTCATACCTTTACAGTGTACTTAATTTTTACTTTATTTTCATACATTAAAGTCATGAAAATGAAAAATTCGAAATATAAAACAAAGTCCATACCTGAAAGAGTGGATGTTTAAGGAACAGCTCACCCAGGATACAACCCATTGACCACACATCTACTGCCGGCCCGTATCGCTCCTCGCCCAACAGCAGCTCAGGAGGTCGATACCATAATGTTATCACTTTATTGGTGTATGGACGCTGTCTGTCTTCCGCTGACCATAGTCGCGCTAAACCGAAGTCCCCTAGCTTTACTTCACCTCTGAAGAAGGACAAAAGAACAATAAATAAAGATTTTAACCCCAGAATTCTTAGGTTTTGTATTTAATAATAAAAATAAGGTTTAGCATTATGATTGAAGTGTCGACCTGGTAACACGAGAGTGGATGGTTGCGGGTGGTTAAGGACCGTGTTTTGTGACATACTTCAAAGGAGCCCTATATTCAATGGACTTGTGAAGGATTGTAATGACGATGATGACTGAGTCAATTATTACTACCCAAAACATGTTATACAGCAATAACCTAAGAAACCGAAACCTTATACAATAAATCTTATGTAAAACACGCACGCACGCAAATACGCACGTACTCACTTTTCTTTAAGTTTTCGAACAATAATATTAGTTTTCGCTCTTCAAACCAGACTATAGGAATGGCTCCTCTATTGCTTAGTGGAAAAAATAAGATAGAGGGTACCTATTTCGACAGAATCATAGAAAAACGATACTTATTATATATAAGCGAAATACCACTGACTGACTGACTCATCACGATATCTCTAAAACTATACACCCCATTGACTTGAAATTTATTATAATTACTCATTTCGCAATGTGAACGGATTTTACGAGTCCCGTCAAAAAAAAAAACGGGTTCCACAATAAAATATTATGGTGCGCCCAGCGAAGCGAGCGGGTATCAGCTATTTATTTATTTATTTATTTTAACAGATACACCATTGGCTTATCACTAGACATTGTTAAGTATAACACAATTGGTTTTGTTCAAAGTGATTTGCCTTTAAAGGTATATACAACATTCGCAAAAATAGTGCAGCTACAATAAGACAGTTATTAACTTACTTAACTAGAACAATATCATTAATAAATTTACAAGTAATTTGCTTACAAAAAAAAAACTAATGCTAAACTTGAAGAAGATAGAAAGAGTTATAAATACTTATTACATAATTTAGCAAATTGTGATACGTTATCCGTATGGAAAATGTCGACATCGCCGTTGGTGGTTATGTCGTTAAAAGTTTGCATTAACCTATTTATTGGGGCTCGTTTACCTAAATTTGTTCTATGGTTAGATAAACAGAAGATTTTGGTAATCGGATGTCTTGGTTTAGATCTTGGAACTCTGATACTTATTTGATTTAACAGTTCCGGTGATAGTAGAAGGCCGTGAATTAGCTTATAAAGTGTTTTAAGATCGCTAAGTCGACGTCTTTTTTCGAGAGACTCTAATTTGAAGTGGGATAGCCTAGTATTATAGTCAGCACGGTAAGGACAAGTTTGATCTTTAAAGGCTAAGTAGCGGGTAAAATTGCGCTGGATACGCTCTATTCGATCACTGTGAATTTGGTATGATGGGTTCCAAACAGGTGATGCATATTCTAGTGTATTACAAATAAGAGCTTTGTATATAGTGAGAATAGATATAGGGTTCCGCAAATCCTTACATATTCGCTTTACGAATCCTGCCATCTTCCATGCCTTGGATGCAATATTATCAATATGGATGTTGAAATTTAATTTTTTATCGATCATTACGCCAAGGTCACAGACTACTTCGGATTCTGTTAATTTTTCTCCGTTTACAAAATAACTGGAGCGAATAATGTTTCTCTTTCTGGTAATTTTTATAGACAGACATTTCTTGGGATTTAGTAGCATTTTGTTACTTTTGCACCAATCTGAGATAGAGGTGAGATCTGTCTGTAATTTAACTACATCATCTGGAGACTATAACCTTATACAATTTTAAGTCATCTGCAAATATTGAGTAATTACTAAAGGTAATATGAGCAGAAATGTCATTTATAAATACCAAAAAGAGAACAGGGCCGATATGCGACCCCTGTGGAATGCCTGAAGTTGGATAAAACGAAAACTACTTGAAACCCTGTGTTGTTACTCTTTGAATTCGATTAAATAAGTAGGATTTTATCCAATTCAACAGGTTTCCGTGAATACCATAATAATTTAATTTGGACAAAAGAATGGCGTGGTTAACTTTATCGAGCGCGCTACTGAAATCGGTGTATATAGCATCAACCTCTTTATTTTTATCAACGTATCTCGCCAAGTTCGAGGTGTATTCTAGTAGGTTACTAACTGTAGACTTATTTGCGCAAAAACCATGCTGATAATTAGAAATTACCTTTGTATAAAAGCTTTTACAAAAATATACTTCGCAAATATCCGCGTTATAAAATAAAATGATGTGTCTTACCTAGTAAATTCATTTTTTTCACATTCATTAATTCACATCATTTTATTTTATAACGCGGATATTTGCGAAGTAAATTTTTTTAAAAGCTTTTATATAATGGATTTCCGCAAAGTAACGCCTGATCCTATTAATTAAATTACCTTTGATAAATGAGAAGACAAAATGGGGCAGAGTATTTTTTCTAAAAGTTTAGGGAACAAGCTTAATAAAGAAACAGGTCGGTAGTTTTCAATATAGCGTTTGTCACCTTTTTTGTAGATGGGAATCACATTGGAAATTTTCCACTCGTCAGAAATCAGAAAATCAGAAATGTTTATTTGCTTTAAACATGGTAGTACAAAGATCTTAATATAGTGATACCAGTATGTCCTCATGTTTGACTTATAACTGTCATGCAAATTTAAAAGTAGTTACATTTGAATCTACTTAGAACTAAAAATAAGTTAATAGACTAAATATAAAATAATGGTAAACATCAATCATAGACAGAACATTACATAACATTTATAAATTGTATAATATTTTATGTCAAATTATTCAAGTCATAAATAAAGTAAACACAGAAAAGCTACAAACACAATTAAAATTCAAAAATCTCTTGGTCATCTAAGTATTCCTGGACTGAATAAAAGCACCTAGTCAAAAGCCAGGAATGTAACTTTCTTTTAAACAATGGTAATGGCAGAGCCTTGAAACATGGATGAAGCTTATTATAAATTTTGATAGCCGTACAATAACAGCTTCGTCTGTATAGTTGAAGTCTTATTCTAGGTTGCATGATCCTTTCTCGATGTCTGGCAAGTTTATTTTTGTATTGCTCTCTAGTGACAAAATAATGAGAGTGTTGTCGTACAAAAATACACATTTGTTTTATATACAGGCACGGTAGCGGTAGGATTCCAAGATTCTTGAAAAGGGGTTTACAGCTTTCAAGAAAATGTACTCTGCAAATAGCCCTAATACATTTCTTTTGGGCTATGAAAGCCCGGTTTACATCCACTGAACCTCCCCACAATATAGTGCCGTAACTTAATAGTGATGACACATAGCCATGGTAGGCCGATAGAGCAGTTTCAATGGATGATACATTACTGAGTCGTCGTAGCGCGTATACAAATTTATTTATTCTCGTACATAGATTGTCTATATGTGCTTTCCAGTCACAGTGTTTATCTAAAGTAAATCCAAGAAATTTAACTTCATTAACAATATCAATGTTATTACCGCAATAATCGACTAGCACATCCATTGACCTTGCTCTGTAAGTAGTAAAATGGATGCCCTTTGTTTTTTGTATGTTTATTTTGAGATTGTTCGAATGTAGCCAATTGATTAGGTTGTGTAAAGTCTCATTAATAATGACATTGGATTTTTCTATTTCATCACATTTTATTACCACTGTGGTATCGTCTGCGAACATGAAACATTTATGTTGAGTTGCATTTGGTAAGTCATTAATAAATATCAAAAACAACAGGGGCCCCAAGATACTGCCCTGTGGAACTCCCCATGGGTTAACGCGATATTTTGACCGGAAAGTACACTGTCTTGATTCAGCGATTGTTGCTATCTCAGTACATTGCTGTCTATTATACAGATAACTTTCCAACCAGTCATAAGCGTTACCTCTAATACCATATCTATATAGTTTATCCAGTAATCTTTTATGTGGAACAAAGTCAAAAGCTTTAGTCATGTCTAAAAATAAAGCAATAAGTGGTATCTTTTGATTAATACATTCTGTGACATAATGTACCAGATTGTAGCAGGCCAACGTAGTAGAGTGACCTTTGCGAAAACCGTACTGTTCTTCTGTCAGTATATTATTTGAGTTAATAAAGCTATCAATGCGCTTGAAGATGACTTTTTCATAGATTTTAGATAGTATCGGAATAATAGTTATCGGTCTATAGTTATTCATATCACAATTATCGCCCTTCTTGTATATTGGCTTGACAATACATAACTTAAGGATATCGGGGAATAATCCCTGTTCCATTGACAAATTAATTACATGGGCAAGAGTTCGACTTAAATCACTCGCACATGCCTTTAGTACACGTGTGTTTATGCCATCATGTCCAACTGCATTGCTGTTTTTAAGCGATAAAATAATAGAAGCTATTTCAATTTCATTGGTTGGGGTTAGGAATATTGAATTTTTATTGAATGGAATGTTGATTTTATCAGAATTTAAATTGTCCTGTTCTAGGTTAGTCATGTCTATAAAATAGTTATTAAACAATTCACATATTACATTAGGTTTACTATATTTTATGTCATTTATACTTATTATGTCAATATCATTATATTCTTTATCATTATTTAAATTATCATTGATAATATTCCATACCGCTTTACATTTATTGGAAGCATTATGTATAACTCTTTGGTTTTGTAATTTTTGAGCCCCATAAATGCATTTTTTGAGTATTTTATTGTATTTTTTGTATGCGTATTTTTTAAATAATCGAGAAATTTTATTGCTTCTTGTATATTGGATATACAGACGCCTCTTATTTTTGCACGCAAGTCTAATGCCTTTACTAAGCCATTTCTGGTATCTGAATTTATTACATATCTTAACAAGCTTTATTGGAAAACAGAGTTTATTGAAAATCAGGAAATTTTGCAGTTTTAATTGATTTATCGAAAAGCAATTTAAGTGGGAGAGTTAAATATTTATAAGTTTTTTTTAATAAAGTAGGGTGGGATGCCGTCCGGTCCAGCACCTTTATTAGAGTCAATTGACTTTAATACTTTCTCGACGTCTCGCTCTGTAATTTCAACATTGCTTAGAATTAATTGTGGATAGCAATCTCCTAGATCCGGTTGCGTTGAATTGTCAGGGGGAGAGTAAATGGAAGAAAAACGTGTCGCAAAAAGATTACAAATTTCCTCACTACCACGCGCAACCTTGTCGTCTAAATACATCTCAGAGGGTAAGTTGGAAAGACTTCCACGTAAGGATTTTACATAAGACCAGAATTTTTTTTGGGTTTTTACTGAGAGCATATTCAGTGTTTTTTAAATTTATACTGTAGCAAGATGACATTAATGACTCTACGCGTTTATTAGATAAGATAAGTAAATCTTGTATCTTGAATGAATTCTATTTCTTTCGGCTATTAATTTTATAAGGTTTCCTGTAAACCAATGTGGATATTTCGGACTACGAGGTTTAGTTCTGGGTACAGTTGATTGAATAACATCATGTAGTTTATATATAGTTTCTAATAATGACGATTAACTTTAAAGTATTAGTAATTTTAAAAGATTCGTAATAGTTTTCAAAGTAATTGACTTATGGAAAAATAACAAGGCAGGTTCATGACAGATGTGGATACAGAGATTGTATAATAAAAAAAACTCCTCTAGTTTTAATATCCAGGGAGAGAATAATTTAAAATTTAAAATTTTGTACAGCCGACTTCAATATAAGTTATTAAGAATAACTCAAAAACTATTGATCTGACCTTGATCAAATTATATGGGACCACACGAGAAGTACCAGCTTTCAAATAAGAAAAGAATCATCGAAATCGGTTCACCCAGTAAAAAGTTATGAGGTTACACACATAAAAAAACATACAGTGAAATTGAGTACAGTCTCCTTTTTGGAAGTCGGCAAAAAAGGGAATATGATTGTATGGACTAAATGCCTTCGATATAACTAAGCATACATTTAAACTCACTTATTATTCATTAAAATATTACTGCATTTGATATCACGATGGAGGAAGTTCTTCCTATGGCAGTATGCAAGTCCATCCAGCAACTGCCTCATAATCGAAGCATTGTGTGACTCTGTGAAGTCCACCATCTTAGATTCCAGGAGTCCCATTAGGTCATGGTCCATATATTCAAACACCAGGTAGAAGGAGCCTTTGTCCTGTTGGAAATAGAGAAAATATTAATAAATATGTAGAAAAGTAAAGTCTTATGCACAAATACTCAAACGTTACCCAATTTTAAGACGACGTAAGTATCGTGCTATCTGTATCACTTTAAGTCAAAATGAGTGACACCACGAGACTTAACGTCTTAAAATTGAATAGCGTTTGAGTATTTGGACATTAGAGTTTTGTTCTTTATTATTGTAATTATAATGCATTATGTTATAAGGTACGTGAGGGTAATATGGTCACCATAAGCTTTGCCGCCTTATAAAATCAAAACTAGGAGGAGGACAGAGACAAATACACAATGTCGTATACTATAACTAATATAGAAAAAAATAACAAACAAGCCTTGGAAATAATTAAAAACACTTCGAAAAATCAACTTAAAAAAATTACCATAGTACGTGAGGATAATATAGTCATGCGGTTAATATGGTCACTTTCTTATAACTCAAAAACTACAGTGTCCTTTGCATAGAACGCTCTGTGATACGACCATGAAGCTAATACAAAGGGGAGACGGCATAAGCAACTGTGCACTGTGATTCTAAGTAGGTCCTGACGTCATCATAGTGGGCGTGGCTTTAGTTAGTATACTGTCAGCATTCGTCCTGTGCGCTTATGTGTTGAAAAAATCGCAAATCGGTGTATTTTCGTAGTATTAAGAAGAAAAGGATGAAGTGTTGTGTTTTATTGTGTAAAAACTACTCAGATAGACGCTCTGATGTTATGGATGGCATCACATTTCATTTGTAAATAATTTTACACCTAATTTATTAAAATAGTTCTAGAAAAATCTCTTTGCGTCGGCTTTCAAATATAATTAAATATATTCCACACTAGATGGCGACACTTTGTGTCCTGTGAACTAAAAATATAAAGGTCCGTAGAGCTCAGTATTGGTAAAATAATCATACGAAGGTGCTGAAATTTGTTTTGCATTCAGACGTAAAGAAATTTTAATCGCAAAATATTATTCTTATAGTTTATAATCATTTTGAGAACAGGCCATATTCTCGTCAAGTAAACTTCATAAAAATGACAAAAAGACATGGCCCTAATTAGAATTCAATTATTTTTCCCAGTAATCCAACTTTTAATATTAAATGCAGGAAATTGTACTTAGGCTGATTTTTACGAAATGTTTAAGTTATATTTAAGTGACATTCTATATGCAAAGAATCACTTATAGTCTGCGCGGAAGTGCTAGTCATCGCCTTAGGTATGCAAGCGGCGAGACGGGGGAGGACGCGATTGACAAGACGCACACGAGATATTTGAGGACAGATAAATCTCCGGATAACCATGTTAGAAACTGTCTTAATTAATATAATGGGTAAATTATTTATATTTTCCGGGCTAAACAAAAATTAACACGTATTTAAAAGCGTTAATTACATTTTATTATTTATGATACAAAACAGTTTTATAAACTCACCACCCAAATTAAACCTAAATTACCATACTGCGAGAATTCTATGTTCGACCTGTGGGTTTGTATCACAAATAAGGAGGTTATTAAAACCTCAATCCATCTTAGTCATCACGGGTGACAACGCATCTACATTTTGATTTGTAATAGAGGATAGATGTAGATGTCTATGGGCCGCAGCAAGCACTTACCATCAGGTGCACTGTGTGCTCGTTTGTCACCCTTATCCTATAAAAAAAAACAATCCGTTATAGCACAAAATTAATCCATATCTTCTTCTTCTTCATTACTATACATGTCTTCAATTTCCATATCCTCCTCAGAATCTGAATCGTTTCCCAGGTTTATGATCAACTCGTCTATTACATTGTCAAACCTCATATCGTGGTCCCAATATTGGTTCTCGATTTTCTGTACGTGGTCGTCACACTTTTGCCATCTTCCTGGAGTGAATTCAGAAAACAATTTTGTGATGATTGGAATTTTGTCGTCCAATGAAGTATTTATATAATTTGTAGCTAAATTGTTCTTTATATCGGCCCACACAAGCTCAATGGGGTTGAGATCAGGATGATATGGCGGAAGGCGAAGAACGATATGACCTGAAGCCTTTAATATTTCGTCAATGACGTAAATTTTTTCGGACTGAGTTCTATTTATCAAATGAAAGAGTTCGGCTTTTGTATTATCTGGTGTAAATTCAACATTACGTTCGCGTAACCAATCTTGCATGTCCCTTTTTAAACTTGACATAGTAGGTTTTTTCTTTACCTGTACACAATGGTAGGAGGCATTGTCCATTACGACCACTGAATTAGGAGCTAGTTTATTTTTCAATTTGTGACTAACCCAGTTATGAAAATTTGTGGCATTCATATCGCCATGGTAATCCCCACATTTCGAATCAGATTTGAAAATTGTTAAGGCACCGTTAACTAATCCGTCTCGGCTACCACCATGAACAATCACCAAACGACGCCCTTTGCCAATATCAGCATAAATTCCAGGCTCAGATTCGGATTGCCAACACATATTGGAGGTGTGGCTACTATTAACGTAGGTTTCGTCCAGATAATATATGTTTCGGTTTTCATTTCTATGTTTCCGTATAGCTCTTAAATACCTTACTCTCCATTCAGCAATACTGGGCCTCTCAATTAAAATGTGTCTCTTAGATTTACATTTTTTAAATAAATATCCCATCTTATGTAAAAGCTGTCGTAAATAGGTACAACCGCAGTTCACAATGCCATCTTCTTTTAAAGCTGCAAGCAGCTTACGAATACTTGGGATTTTCTTATCAATAGTATAAAATTGATGAATTTTTCTTCGTATAACTCCCATGTCAAAATCATCAATGTGGATTCTCTTTTTTATTTCTTTAGGTTTCCGCGGAGATGAAAATTTTGCAATTTCCGATGTTTGTAGACTCGAATTTCCTTCAGCTACAATTCGCATTACGGTGCGGGCAGACACTCCTGTAGCCTCTGCTACTAATTTATTAATGTTCATATCATATTTGTGTTCCATACTTTCCTTGTCGCCCTTTCGTCTTAAAAAAAAACTATGTACATTATAAATAATATTTTTCACTTGTCGTGGTATTGGCGGACCCATCTTAGAATATTTATCTCATGTATTTTTGGAGAAAACTGTCGCGTACAACTGAATCGTGTAACCGTCGCGGCGGTTGACGGCAGACTGCGTCAGCTTGATGTTTGTCTACCTCCCCCGTCCTGCCGCTCACATACCTAAGGCGATGACTAGCACTTCCGCGCAGACTATAAATACAATTTAATGTTCTTAGATTGGCATTCAAAAAGTGCATTCGGATGCCTAATTTGGAATAAAATATTTATATTTTAATTGATTTGTAAATAAAATTATATCAATTATAATAATTTGTCTATTATTTGTTCTCCCTCAGAGATATTAAGTAGTATAACCCACACATAAATAATAGTCCAGCCGTTTCTGCGTGAAAAAATTACACATACTTAGTGTGGAATAACCTCAAGGAGACAGAAAGAACACACAAAATTTCGCCTTTATAATATTAGTGAGATAAGTAGGATATTTAGTTCCAAATTAAATATCCTACTTAATATTGAACATAGAATATTTAGTTTCAAAGAGACTTTATTTTATGGATAAAATAAATATTTCTTGAATGTTGACTTTCACGAAATGATAAACATATTTAAATTGTATTTAAGTGATTCTTTGCATATAGAGTGTCACTTAAATATAACTTACACATTTCGTAAAAATCAGCCAAGTACAATTTCCTTCATTTTAATATTGAATGTTGGGTTACTGGGTAAAATAATTGAATTCTAATTGCGGCCCTGTCTTTTTGTTATTTTTTATGAGGTTTACTTAACGATAGATGGCGACCTGTTCCCAAAATTATTATGAAAACTATAAAAATATTATTTTGGCGAGTTAAATTTCTTTGTTTAAAGTTAAAATAGTGTAAAGTGGGCGGGGCTTTGCATCCCCTCACCCCGTAAATTGTCACGCGTTGTTACATAGTGAAATTTAATTACAACGTCTCCTCTTTGTATTTGCTTCATGGATACGACAGCTCTTGATCAGTCTATCAAATAATAAAGGGTCAAAAGGCGCTCCTTTATCGACGCCATTTTGACAGTTGATATTATTGTAAATATTTTAATCGATTTTAGTATTGTGTAGTGTAGTTAGTTTTTCTAAGTAGATTTTTCGAAATGTTCCTAATTATTTCCAAAGCTTGTTTGCTATTTTTTTTTCTTAATATATTAGTTATAGTATACGACTTTGTGTTTTTGTCTCTGTTCTCCTCCTAATTTCAGTTTTATAGGGCAATAAAGCTTAAGGTGACCATATTACCCTCACTTCCTTACTATAATATCAACTGTCAAAATTGCGTCGATAAACTGCCTTTTGACCCTTTATTGTTTGAATGACTGATGAAGAGCTATCGTATCACAAAGCCATCTATGCAAATAAGGCTGTAGTTTTCGAGTTATAAGAAAGTGACCATATTACCCTCACGTACTCTACAAAAAATACCTTGAAGGAATTTACTATGAAATATAAGTGCAAGATAAAAGGTTTTTTTTTAATATAGAATAAGGGTGAGAAGCGAGCTATCAGTCCACCCGATGATAAGTGGATGCTGTGGCCCATAGACATCTTCATTTATCCTCAATGAAAGATCAAAATGCAGATGCGCCGCCACCCCTGAGGACTGAGATGGAATGCCTCGTTTCCAGTAAAAAGGGTCTCCGGTTCTCCACACTCACCATACGAAACACAGCGGCATTGAGCTGCTATTTTACGCTGGTATTGTGAGAGCGTGGTCCTTCCCCGGTCGAGCCGACCCATTCGTGCTACAACCACAATATAGCTACAGCATGGCTCTACCACGTAAAAAAGGTTTGTGGGGATCTGTAAAAAAACATAATAAATAAAAACATGTATTTGTCTGCGTCGACTTTTGATTTAGTATTTTCCGATTAAGAAATATAGGGAATCGTTTTTATATATTTTTTAAGATTTTTTAACATTTTTAAAATAGCTTAGAGATAATACTTATTAGTAGTGCAGTGGTAGCATATATTAAAATAATTCGGGAGATTACGACACATCATCTCGTCATATTTATCCCAAATGTTGTAAACAAGAGTGTTCAAAAAGTGTATGTTGCTAGCTCAGATCCATAATGCTTATATGTCATATTGATCTGAGACATGGTCCTTCACCGTTTGCTGAGTGAGGAAGCTCAAGGTCATTCAGTGCGCTATGGAGAGACAGCTGTGCTCTGTGGCTAGACTTTGTAGTAAAAATATCCACAGTGGAAAATGAGTCGATGGGTGCAGGTGGCTCAGCATGGCCATACTTTTTGACATTCCTTGGTACAGAAACAGAAACTTTTTTATTCAATATAGATTATAAATAATACTTATTGAAAGTCACTCTTTTGTTTGATTACCACCTTAATAAAGGTCTGTGCTCAGCAGTGGACTTGTGATACGCTATAGTAATGATGATGATGATGATGGAATATATTAAATACACATATTACTTACTTTTCTGAAGTCCATAGCATCCTGCTTATCAGTAACAATTTCCCTCAAGTTGACAATATTTTTATGGTTTAATTGCCTCAAGATCTTAATCTCCCGCACAGCGGTGATGGGGAAGCCCTCCTTCTCATTCTCCAGACGAACTTTCTTCAGTGCAACCAGTTGACCGGTGTTTTTATCCCTTGCTTTGTACACTTGCCCATAAGTGCCTTCACCAATTTGCGTTATTACCTATAGAAATATATTTTATATTACTGAAATATATACAAGTAACTAACCACAAGCAAAATAAAACTAATTATTTATTAGTTACATTTTTTACTGAAATTTTCTTTCTAAATGTATATTTGTTGCGTTAAAACTACATTTTCTAGGGGTGGGCCGTTTACAAATATCGTTTTGTGTGTACGACGATGAAACCATTATGGTTTTAAACAGTCTTCATTGCACAAACCAGTCTTCGAATTAATTAGTGCGATTTTTTATTTTACGCCTATGAAAATACAGTCGAGAACGCAATGATACAACAACGGCTATCAACAATCCATAAAGTTCCGCGTTATATTGTACTCTTTGGTTCCGCGTTCGTTAACAAAAGTAGACAGAGACAAAACGGTCCTTACAATAAAAAGTGAACTTTTGTCGTTTGTTTTAGTCGCTAATGTATTATCAGTTGTAAATGCTGTCGTTCGTCAATGTCAATACTGTTGACATAGTTCAAAGTCAAGTTGTATGAACAATGAATTGAGAAGGGAAGTTCATTTCATCGTTTAATAAAGTCGATCGATAAAACGAATTATTTACTAGTTGTAAGAAACTGCAACCATTCTACTCGACGAACACGCAATTCTATTCCATGTCGGATAAGTTTCGTCCTTTAAGCCGTCTTCAAACCAGTTGCATCGACGTCCGTTTTCTGCAACCGTTTTCGTCGTCGGGAAAACAGTTGCGTTTCGTCAGTCAAAAATTCGACAACGACCCACCACCAACATTTTCTAAGAAATTACTTTTATAAGACCATATACAAACTTATTTTTTGTGGTAATGCATTTTACCTGGAAACCATCGACACACTTCTCTCCCCAGTCTTTAGCGTGATACGTCGGCGTAGCAACGGGTACAACTTTAGAGCCGCGTCTTTTCAAAATTCTCGGCCTCTTCAGTTTGGAACTAGACTATATAGAACAAAGAATTCAGTATAAAGCAAATTGTGTAAAAAAACATTGTAACAGCATCAGAAAGCCACCAATCAGTGTATTTTATAGCCCGTAATAAATTTGTTAATTTGTTGAGTGATAGCAGCACAAGAAAGATTCTCTTGTGCCATTACCTCACCCATGTCATCCCATAGGTTTTGCAAAAAGCGAATAAAGTCAAAGGTACTAGACATCTGGTACTGAATCGCTATATATAGCAAGTGTTGCGATTTCGTTTTTGCAATGCACACTCCTTTTCATAGGAGGAACCCATGTTCAGAAGTGGACTATCACAGGTCAACAATGAAAAATAATAAGATAGAACTACTGTTTTCTATCGCAGGCTACAAAATCCTCTGGACAATTCTAGAGTTTGTGATGATAAAATGGATCAATTCATTTTCTGTTGCTGTCATGGCAGATGGTGTTAAGTATGCCAGTGTCAATTCCTAACTGCAGCACACTCCAAGGACACCTCACTATGTATGTGCAGCGCGGAACAATGGAGTGCAAGGCGGCAATAATAATGCAATAGCAAATTAATGTGGCAAATGAGGAGCTCAAACTTGTGTACCGAGACGCAGTATGGTCATTGACATATAGTGTGGTCATTGTGTGGCAGTATAGTACCAAGTTGTACAATGTCCTACAGTATGCTAAATGTATTTGTGTGCTGGGTTATATTTTTTTAGAATGAGGGTGACAAATGAGCGTACAGTTCACCTGATGGTAAGTGGAGAAAGTGGCATATAGATGTCTATCCTTGATTAAGAATCAAAATGCAGTTGTGTTGTCACCCTATAGGACTAAGATGGAATGCCTCGTTTCCAGTAAAAAGGGACTCCGGTTCTCTACACTCACTATACGAAACCCAGCATCATTAAGCTGCTATTTCACATTGGTAAAGTATGGTATGGTATGGTATGGTATGGTATGGTATGGTATGGTATGGTATGGTATGGTAGTGTGGTGCAGTGTAATGAAGCAGTATGGTGCAGTGTGGTAGTGTTGTATATACAATATGGTACAGCATGCTAGTGGTGCTGTATTATAGTGTGATACAGTATGATGCCTTGGTTAATGACCGTTTAGTGTGGTGCAGGGTAATACAGTGATATGCGATGTATAACGGTAGAGTGCGGTACGGTGCGTTGCGGTATGACACTATACGATGCAGTACGATACGGAGCGGTGCGATGCGGTACGTTATAGTCCGGTTCGATCCGATGCGGAGCGGTACATACGTTGGGGTCACGTTGCTTGGAGTGCGCTCTGAACACGTGCGAGTAGGAGTCGCGACGCGAAGCCGGCGGGGGCGTGGAGCCGTCCAGCTCGTCGCCGCTCAACTCCTCAGACTCGCCCACCACTGGAACATCACCCACACGTAGGGCTCATTTTCATTGATCGATAACTCAGTTGATACAAAGCATGCGAGAACTCCTTGCGCGGGCAAGCGAAAATAGGACTAGGGGAATTAGCAGATCAATTACACAGTCGAAATATACCATGAGAGAACTCCCCCCCACAAGCAGAGTGACACCCTATGAAATTCACCCGTCGATATCCAGCATGCAGGAATCCGTCACGCAGTGTCACGCGTGTTTTTGATAGACTACACTCAAAGCAACTGGTAAATGTGATTTGTGGGACCTCGCATAATCTGCAAGTTCTACATGCAGTTTTAGAACACCCACACACCGGGCGGATTCCCTATCCACCTAAAAGGATGTTGGCCTTATAGCATGCATTCTTATGTTATTTATCAACCAATGCAAAAGTTTTCTCGAATGCTGTCCTTATGGTACATGTTTTCGTAAATTTTCTGCATCCGTTCCCAACTATCAATTAACAATTAAGTCTTTATGGTGTTTTATATGTTTTCACAGCACACAGTTACATTCTTTTTAAGCCCTATATTTTAACCCATGGACATAAGCCTTTCTCATATACCCATACATACATACGCAAGGCAGGCGCAGATTTATGAGAGCAAAGCCAATACCCTCTTATTGGTCATGCTCGCCTTCACAAGTTTGTGGAATGATGGATATGATAGAAGAAGCCCATATTCAGTGGTGGACTTATCTGTTAAAGTTGTCATCATCATCATCATCATCATCATTACAGCCCTTCACAAGTCCACTGCTGAACATAGGCCTCCCCCAAGGAATGCCACAAAGCACGGTCCTGAGCCACCTGCATCTATCGACTTCCTGCATATCTTACCAGGTCGTCACTCCATCTAGTGGGGGGACGCCCTACACTTCGTCCGCCGGTACGAGGCCGCCACTTGAGAAACTTTTTTCCCCATCGGTTGTCAGTTCTTCGAGCTATATGGCCGGCCCATTGCCACTTCAGCTTACTAATCCGTTGGACTATGTCATGTTAAAGTTAAGGAAAAATGAATTCCCAGAAGCAAAAATGGTTTGACATACTAAATTAATAATTCATATTCGCAAATTTCATTGTTTTTCTTTGTAATATCTCTCTATTCAGAGAGATTCAACCTGATTCTATTAGTATATCCTAATGCAAAATGAGATATCGTAGAATATTTCGAAGGGTACAGGGTATAACTTACATGGCGGCATAGGAAGGTTCATAATGCCAGTTCTCTTTGGCTTCTCTGGTTTTTTCACTGGACTAGGAGAAGGTGTACTAAGGGGACTCTCATTTGCCAATGTTTTTAAGTCTTCAACCTGAAAATTAAAAATATGAGTAGAGAACTATTGTTAAATGTACAAGTGTACATTAAATATTAATAATAATATTAAAAAAGTGCCACAATCAACGCATGCAACATTAGACTTTTTCATCTTATAATGTGTAGTAAAATGTACTGATACAACTGTAGGTTTTTAGTGTAGGACTTTACAGACGGTGCAATGCCATCTTTGTCAGTGCTATTTATTTACATTTTTCAGTCGATATTTTGGACATTGCCAACCCTTTATCATGATTGTGTAAAAGGGGTGCACACCCTACTCTGTTGAAGCACAGCAACATGTGGATTGTTTGTGTAGTTCATTAAGGCATTTTTAGAGAGGGAGGGAGGTATTTTAGGAGCTTGATAAGAGTCATGGTCAAATGTTACCTAGTTAGTAATATAAAAAAAACATAATTTTACCTGAGTATTAGGGGGCATAGGCAGCTTAGTGAGACTCTTAGGTTTCTGGACCGGAGGCTGTTGACTGTTTTGTAAATACACTCCATCCACAACACTGCCACCCACTTTCGGCAATGGTGGTAACGGAGCAGACGTGTTTGATGTTGGTACTGTTGGTGCTGTTGTAACTGTTGGTTCAATTGGTGGTGGGGTTTGCGGTTTGTGCTGTTAGAGGAGAAAAATGTTTGTTAATAAAAATTAATACACGCAGGTGTGTAGTGTGGGTCGGTGGTTAGACAGGAGCTAAGCACTCGCGCTTAAATTTAACAGTGCGAGCAACTTGCGTTCGTTTTGCGCCGGCACCAATGAAATTGTTAATTGAAATTTTAAGTACTAATACAAAACAAGCTCAGCAGTAAAAAAAAACAACATAACGAAACCTATTTCTTGCTACAATAACCTTACTTCCAAATCTAATGTCATAAATGAGAAGAGGCCTGTGTCAGTTAATATGCAGAGTATTCCTTTTTCATTAAAATTGTGGAAAATTAATGGTTAAATCAATCCAATTATGCATTCTAAATACAAGATAATAAGGTTTTTATTTCTAATAATACCAAATAATATTATACTAAAAACAAATAAGTCAAAACGTATTTTTATTGTATGAAAAACTCCTCACCTCATCAGACTTCACCTCAGCTTCATTGCTATCAGTCGTCTCACCATTTGCTGTGGCCTTCTCTTCAAAGGAGTCAAATTCAGGTGGCGCCTGCATTGGTAGCTGATTTGCCTCCGTATCCGATTGTGTTGGCATTGGTATATCGACAATGTCTTGTTGTTGGGCCTCATCTTTGTTATTATCACCATTTTCTTTTGAAACCTTATAAAAGAATTAAGAAAACATGAAAAAATACTAAACACATACTGACTGTACCCAGCCGCCTAGTGCAATGAGCTGTTATTTTTTCTAGTACATCTAGTTTTCTTGTAGTAATTATGTTTTACCTGTGTTGAACTGTCGGCAGTAGCATTGGACAATTCATCAATGGTCAGAATCTCTGGATTGTTGATAGATGTGGTTGAAGAAATTGCTCCTTGCGATTCCTCTTCCTTCTGGCTCAAAATCTCTTGCAGTTTCTGCATTAAAATTATCAATGGTTTTATATTCAATTTTTTTTATTAATAAATCTCCAATTGTGATGATATCACAGAATAAATAATAGTACAAGAAACTTGCGATTTTAAACCTAGTTACAATGTCAATGACAATGTATATCACAAATAATACATATTATATTAAATTAGATTGATTAGTGCGATCGCCAAATCAATCTATGTATTTAAAACATAAAAGATTTTTAATATTGATATGGTCAGTATAAGATGTTGTTAGGTTAGCTAATTACGTAATAACTTGAGACAGACGGACCCTTAAGTAGGGATTGAATAAATTAACCGACTTGGTATTATATGGATTATCCGAGCAAAACAGTTTCACTGTAAAGCATTGCGCCAAGTACACTTTCAACTATGGTTACAAAAATAATAATTACATTTAAATATTTTAGCGATTTTTTTTCATGGTCACGATAACTCTCGAAAAATTTTACGTATCGAGACCGGGTTTTGTTTATTTTTTTAAGAATTATATTAAATAGGTACTTATTTCATAACAATAGTGATGTTTTTATTATATAAAAAAGTCTCCATTCATTATACTGTCAACTTAGGTATAAAACTTTAACTTTGAATTTCAATGTAACTCGGAATAAAACTCTACTAACAATTAAATATGGTTGTGCAATGTGACGCATCAACAAATTGTAAAGCAGTGTACTATAAAGGATTATAATCATTTGATACCGAGATAAATGAAAACATGACATAAAAGACAAGCATCCAAGTTAACAATCTTTAAAAAGATAAATAATTCGGCCGAAATTATTAAAATCTTTTTATGGAGTGTAGAGTAGAAGGAGAACCATCTTATAAGGTGCGAAAGTTGAAAAAGTGTCCCACTATATACTGAAAATAGAGGTTCCAAAACCTACCACAATAGCGCTGGCTTCTGAAAAACTACCATATGAGTATAGCAGTTGTAGAAGGAGTGAAGTCAGCTGAATTCAAATATTTAAAATATTTCATGACTAGAGTAGTTAGTAAAATGCCAGTATACAAAACCTTAACTATTTACGTAGTACAAAACCTAGCAGATTGGTCGGTCCTTGTTTATTTCTCCATCTTATTCTAATTAATTTTAGCGCTCTTTTTTTTAATTTATCCTATGCTACTGCAGCGCCACCCTTATTGGACGCGTTTTTAGGGACACTTTTCATATGGTCCTCCTTGTACTCTACACTCCATAAATCTTTTGTGGAATCTATGGAGTGTAGAGTATAAGGAGAACCATCTTATAAGGTGTGAAGTTGAAAAAGTGTCCCATTATATACTGAAAAGAGAGATTCCAGAACCTACCACAATAGCGCTGGCGTCTGAAGAACTACGATATGAATATAGCTGTTGTAGACGGAGTGAAGTCAGCTGAATTCAAATATTTAAAAAATTTCATGACTAGAGTAGTAAGTAAAATGCCAGTATACAAAACCAAGCGGATTGGTCGGTCCTTGTTTATTTCTCCATCTTATTCTAATTAATTTTGGCGCTTTATTTTTATTCTAATAAATTTATCCTATGCTAGTGCAGCGCCACCCTTATTGGACGCGGTTTTAGGGACACTTTTCATATAGATGTGGTCCTCCTTCTACTCTACACTAAACACCCTATTAACACCCAGAACTATTCACCCGGGCGCTTGTTGAGAGAAGACGTGTTTCTGTAATTGTGGAAGAAAAAAATTGATAAATGGTGAAATATCTACAAAATTTTAGTATTGAGTTGTATCAGAGTGTTCAATAGATAAAAAGCTGACGAAGTGTTGTAAAACGGTAATTAAAAAGTGTCTGAATAAGTGCTAAAACTAAAAAGTAGTTTTGAAATCATCCATTGCTAACGGAAAAATTTAACTGTGAACAAAGGATTGGACTTTGTACTCATTATTATCTACTCATTGTTATTGAGAAGAAATCGTAAAAAGTTCATACGAATTAAAAATTTCGCAACTTATGATCAGTTACTTAGTGGTCTAGTGGCTTGCACATAGTTTAACGGCTAACACAACACTCGTTAGGGCGTAAGATCAAATCCCCGCATAAAGTTTTTTTTTTTTTTGGTTTATTTTATTTTATTTTATTTTATTTTATTTTTTCTCTTTAATAATTACAACGTTTTAAAAATTGGTTATATACGATGTCGTCACAGAAGACTTGTGCCGGGTGTCATAATTCTCTGCCAAGGAGGGAGTATATGATTTGTGTCACGTGTAAGCTTGGATACGATTTGCTTTGCGCAAACTTGACATCTAAACACTTCTATCAGATGGATGCAGAAAGTAGGAATAAATGGAACTGCCAACAATGTCGCAGTAAGCTACCAAAAACAGGTAATTCGAATACTCCTGTACGTATAACTAATCATCCCATTGCTTCTAAGGAAGATTCCATCCTGAGTCCTAGTGAGGAGAGTAATGTTACTACGAGAATAAAAAATAAATGTTCCAAGTCTGGTAACAGCGATTCTTGTGTAACTGAGGAGAGGTTGCGCATGATTATAAAACAGGAAATTACTGACACTATTAAATCTCTAGTATCCGAGCACCTAGCGAACTTAAACCTTCAAGTATCTGGGTTTCAAGAGTCCCTGTCATTTATAAGCAAACAATACGATGATCTTATGCAGTCTGTTAACGAGAAATCAGAAACAATCAATAGACTGGTTTCAAAGAACGAAAAATTAACAACACAGGTTAAAAACCTGACGGACAGACTGGGGCAGATAGAGCGAAATATGCGCGTTTGTAACGTGGAAATTACAGGTATTCCCGAACACAAGTCAGAGAACCTCCTGAGCACTGTTGAACAACTTGGTAGAATTGTCGAGAGTCCTATTGCTGAATCTGATATATTACATGTAACAAGAATTGCCAAATTAAACAAGGAGAGCAATCGTCCTCGTTCTGTCATCGTAAAGCTTCGCAGTCAGCGACACCGCGATGAATTATTGGCTGCAGTGACACGATTCAACAAAAAGAACAAGGATAATAAGCTCAACACCGAGCATCTTGGACTCGGAGGACGTCGCGAGCCCGTATTCGTATCTGAACACCTGACGCCCACAAATAAACATTTACATGCTGCAGCCCGAAAGAAAGCCAAGGAGGCTGGGTTCATGTTTGTGTGGATACGGGATGGAAGAATTCATGCGAGGAAAAACGAACAAAGTCATGCTATTTATATTAAAGACGACGAAAGCTTAAAGTTATTGCTTTAAAATTAGCCAAGTAGTAGTCAATAGTAATTTTTGCCACAATGCCTGTAAATATTTATTATCAAAATGTGCGGGGCTTAAGAACTAAAACAGAGGATGTCTTTAAAAATATTCTGATTAATAACTACAACGTAATTGTATTTACTGAAACGTGGCTCAATAGCAATATAACGAACTTAGAAATTATAGATAAGCGTTATATTGTTTATAGGAGAGATCGATTGTGCTCAGAAACTACTAAAAAAGACGGAGGGGGGGTTTTAGTCGCTGTTTCTAGGGATATACCGTCTTTCAGACATTCAAGCTGGGAGAGCGATGCGGAGGATCTATGGGTCTCAATTGATATAAAAACAAATAACATTGTTACCAAAATACTAATTTGTGTGGTATACCTTCCTCCACCAGTAAACCTGGAAAGCCTTACTCGGTTTTTAGAGCATACTAACGATATTTTGGACAAAGCTGATCAAGTTATAATGTTGGGAGACTTCAACATGGGCTTCATTGGTTGGTCTCGCAGTGTGGACGGTGTTTCATGCAGTGCATTTAATTATGATTCACCACAGGGTCTGGCACTCACTGATTTCATGGCGCTAAATAATATTACACAAATGAACCCTATTCCTAACGAGGATGGCAGAGTGCTGGACCTTGTTCTAACCAACTGTGTTCCTTTAGAGGTTTCTAACTCCTTAAATGTTATAAGTAAAATTGACCGAAAGCATCCTCCGTTATTGATTACTGTACCGGAACTAAAACCGAACTTACTTAAACCAGCCCAAAAACCTCGACACAACTTTTTCAAAGCGAACTATGATCTAATCTTGGCTCATCTTAGGGAAATTAATTGGTCACAACAGTTCGATAGGTGTCAAAACGTTAACGAGATGACCACAGTATTTTACCGTATTTTAAACAATGCCGTGAAAACATACGTCCCTATTTTGAAGCCAAAAAAAAGCAGGTTCCCCTCATGGTTTAGCAGGTCTCTGATCAGAATAATCTTGGAAAAAGAAAGCAAGAGAAAAAAATTTGTGAAATACAAAAATCCACGCGATAGGTTGGAGTATGAATTACTTCGTGAGCGAAGTAAGAAAATAATAGACGCATGCCTACAAAGTTATAAAAAACGGGTCGAGGGTAATATTGTCAGGAATCCTAAATATTTCTGGAACTATATTAAGGATAGGCGAGGTGGTGAAACTACTATACCTGCCGAAATGAGCCTTGATGACGAAATTGCAAACACTGGTACAAAAATTGCAGAACTATTTGCTAAAAATTTTTCATCAGTGTTTAGTAACACAGTATTACCTGATAGCCTAGAGTCCGCAGTGCACGGTTTGCCATATTTGAGTGTAATTAGATTCAGTGAACATGAAATTAAACGTGCCATTAAAAAACTAGATATCTTCAAGGGTGCCGGTCCGGATGAGATCCCTCCTGTTTTTGTAAAGCGCTGCGGTCCTACTCTTACTCTGCCACTGTCACTTCTTTTCAATAGATCTTTGCATGACGGGGTATTTCCTGAATTGTGGAAAAAAGCTAAGATCGTTCCAGTGTACAAGAAGGGTGACAGCAGTGACATCAAAAACTACCGTCCTATATCCATACTTTCTTGTATACCTAAGCTGTTTGAATCCCTTGTTTGCCCAATTGTCACGCGCCACTTGGAAAGTCGGATGTCAGAATTTCAACATGGGTTTCGAAAAGGACGTTCTATCAAAACGAACTTGGTGTCATTTATGTCCTATCTAAGTAAAGAAATAGATAGACGCCAACAAGTAGACTGTATATACATGGATTTCTCGAGCGCTTTTGATAAGGTGTGTCACTCGCTTCTTATACATAAATTGAGCGGGTCTGGTATTGGTGGGACCTTACTGGAATGGTTTAATTCATACCTAGCAAAAAGACTTCAGTTTGTGGTGCTGAACGGTCACATATCACATGAGTATGTTGCATGTTCAGGAGTACCACAGGGATCCCACTTAGGCCCTGTTCTCTTCTCGGTGTTTATAAATGACATTACCTCATCTATAAATTACTGTAAATACTCACTTTTTGCCGATGATTTAAAAATATTCAAAACCGTTACTTCAAATAATGATGTGGAGCTCATCCAAGCTGATCTCGATGGAATAAATATGTGGTGCAAATTGAACGGCATGATTATTAATACGAAGAAATCTTACCACATTAAGTACACAAAGAAAAAAGTTCAATTGCCATCATCGTATAAATTAGAGCTAGATACGTTACAGGAGGTTAAGGAGATTCGAGATTTGGGCGTAACAATGGACACGAAATTGAAATTCAAAGTGCACATGGACAAAACTGTAAAAGAAGCGGCCAGGATGTTAGGTTTCCTTAAAAGAAATACCAAAGGATTTGTTTCTCCTCAAACCAAAATAATCCTTTATAACTCACTGGTTCGCAGCAAACTAGAATTTGCATCAGTTGTGTGGAGTCCCCAATACGCGGCACCATCTCAACGTCTGGAGAGACTACAAAGATCCTTTACTAGATACCTGACATATCACACTTCCGGCATCTCTCATAAGGCCACCTATGACTTGCGGCTGAAACACTTTAAAATGATGTCACTTTATAATCGCCGCATAATATTAGATATAACATTCCTCAAAAAGCTGTTGTCAGGACAGATGGCATGCAGTGAATTGCTTAATGAAATAAATTTCAAAATCCCGTACAGATATCCACGAAATCCTCTCACTAACATACTTGTTGTACCAGTAAGTAGAACAAATGCTCTAAAACATTCTCCATTATCAAGGATGTGTTCTGAGTACAATCGATTTTCCGCGTCCATTAAAGATTTTGATATTTTTCATGACTCAGTGACAAATCTGAAAAAAAAGCTTACCGCACATTTTTGTTGGTAAATTAGATTTGTAGTTTAATATTTATGCTACTAAAATTCTTCTTTTTGTTATACTTTTGATTTTTGATTTTTGATTTTTACTTATTAATTTGCTGCAACTCAAAATTTGTAAATTGAAATTTATTTTGAACTTAAATTAATTTAATGTCTTCTAATGAGAGTGATGTATGCACCAGTAATTGGCATGCATACCAAACTATTTATAAGACGAAGATTATTGTAATGTTTTGTATGTTATGCTGTTGGTGTGTCAATAAATAAATAAATAAATAAATAAATATAAAGTGTTGACGTTTCGTTAATAATTAAATATATGAAGTTAAAAATTTGGTGAGGTTGACATCTGATTCGAGAATATACCTAGTCAGGTCATAAGTATTGTCACACAGTAAAAACTTTTCTTTTAGAATGCAGGCCACAAAAAAGTTTATTGAATTCGAATTTCGAATTGTTCATGAAAATAAAACTGTATACTTTTTAGAATTTCACTCATTTTTAAATATGGAGTGGACGCTTAAAGAAGACCGTGTTGCAGTTATTGCGTTGCATCGTTGCGGTTACGCGCCAATTCAAATTTTTGACATACTGAAAAATTTGAATGTAACCAAAAGATTCGTTTATCATACCATCAAACGATACAATGAAGACTCTAGTGTAGATGACAGGTCAAGAAGTGGTCGCCCTCGGTCTGTTAGGACTCCAGCAGTGATAAAAGCTGTGAAGGCGCGAATTCAAAGAAATCCCAAACGTAAGCAGAAACTGTTGGCCCTTCAGATGGGGTTAAGCAGAACCACGGTGAAAAGGGTGTTAAATGAAGACTTAGGGCTTCGGGCATATCGAAGAAAAACAGGACATCGTTTGAATGCTCGTCTAATGGACCTGAGAATGAAGAGATGCCGCGCTTTGTTGAAGCGGTACGCGGGAAAAAAATATCGGGAAATACCTTTTTCGGATGAAAAAATGTTTACCGTAGAAGAGAGCTACAACAAACAAAATGATAATGTGTACGCACACAGTAGTGAAGAAGCGAGCAACCGTATTCCGCGTGTCCAACGAGGTCATTTTCCATCCTCGCTCATGGTATGGTTGGGAGTTTCTTATTGGTGCTTAACAGAGGTACATTTTTGTGAGAAAGGTGTAAAAACGAATGCAGATTTGTATCAAAATACAGTCCTGACGAACCTTGTGGAACCTGTTTCTCATACCATGTTCAATAACAGGCACTGGGTATTCCAACAAGATTCGGCGCCAGCTCATAGAGCGAAGAGCACACAAGACTGGCTGGCGGCGCGTGAAATCGACTTCATCCGGCACGAAGACTGGCCCTCCTCCAGTCCAGATTTGAATCCGTTAGATTACAAGATATGGCAACACTTGGAGGAAAAGGTGTGCTCAAAGCCTCATCCCAATTTGGAGTCACTCAAGACATCCTTGATTAAGGCAGCCGCCGATATTGACATGGACCTCGCTCGTGCTGCGATAGACGACTGGCCGCGCAGATTGAAGGCCTGTATTCAAAATCACGGAGGTCATTTTGAATAAACTTTAGTGTCATAAGAATCTATGTTTTGTTAAGTTCATTTTGGTATATAAATGGTTACACAATGAATAAACTTGTTTCAATTATTTTATATTAAACATGTGACAGAATTTATGACCTGACTAGGTATACACTGTAGTCTCACGCCTACACGTTTACATACATATACATATGTTGAACGTGTACTTGGCGTGAGACACTACAGTGTCTCCGGATCTCACAACTTTTTTACGGTAGAAGAAATGAGTTGCGAGACTTGGTTTTTTTTACAAGTTATGTTTTTGATGGCATCTCATTTCTTTTTGTAGATAGTCCTACTTTTTTTCTTTCCGGTACCATCTACTTCTTAAATACCTACTACGGATTTTCGAGCAATTTAGTCTATTTAATACTTTGCGGGATTTTGGTACAACTTCATAAGACATGTCCCATTCTTGCTTTTTCATTCCGTTGACCATTTTTTACAAGTTACCTTTGAACATAATTATATCTAGGTACCTATCTACATATATTATTCCATTATATTATACATATACAGGTACACTGATTCATTCACTGCAAATGTAACTTTGTAATCCTATATATGTATATAAATATATAGGATTACGAAGTTATTTATGCAGTTGGTGTATCTAGAAAACTGGACCGAAATTGCAAAATATATTAGTTTTTCCTTAATTTATACACTAAACAAATAATGCATGCTTGGTTAATAAGAATTCAGGCTTCTAGTTTTATCCACAACGAAGTTATAGGTGGTCGAATATGGCCTGAACTGCCTCGAGAAAAGGATGGTACAGCCGTGTCGCTTTTTTGCTGGACTTGGTGTGGGCACTACCTTGCCCCCCAGATTAAAACAAAGCCTACATTAAAACATTCTCTGCTCAAAGATCTTAATTAGGCTATTGGCAATGCCACACTGAAATGGCTAATAATATCCTTTTTGTACATAAAGTTATATTAGTAAATAAATAACATAAAAACTGAAAAAAACCTTAGCCCTTTTGTGTTTATCCTTAACAAGCTCAGCAAATAAGCTTGTATCACTAATCTTCTCCTTGAAGTCAATCTTCCTTTGTAGCATTGTTGGTGGACTGGGTGACTCATGCTTACTCCTGAAAGGCAATAATTAAAAAGATTAACCTGAAAGTAGTACAGAGAAAGGGTACAGAGACTCCATATATGCATATATATATTAATAGTATAGTTGTCGCACGAATGGGTCACGGCCCGACCGGGGAAGAACCACACTCTCACAGAATACCAGCCTGTGTTTCATATGGTGAGTGTAGAGAACCCCAGACCCTTTATACTGGAAAAGAGGTAAAGCCTTCTTTATTTAAAGTTGTCTGGAAGTGTCTATGAGCTGCATTATACTATGGTGGACTGTTTGCTTGTCACTTCAATTTTATTAAGAAAATAATTTCCATAAAAGAATAGGTAAATTATTAATTAACCGTAAGGGAGAATATGTGAAATACAAATTTCAACTGCTTCAGTACACTTTTCTGATGAACAGACATGGCTTTGCTGGCTACATTATTAAAAAAAACCCCATTCGAAAATACTGGACCCAAATACCACAAACTAGTGAAATACAGTATAACCATGTGTGCCTATGCAGTTGCCAACCAATATACCCAGTGTGGTATGGTAACTTCAAGAAAGTACCAAGTGGCTTTGTCCAGCAGTAAACTTAAAAAAAATTGAACTGTTACACCCTCTGAATATCTTTCTACTCACAGACTTTTTTACAAAGTGATGTTAATTTTAACCCCTTTAACCCTGCAAACCAAAACACACTAATGAGTTCACAACTTGCCATCGATCTAAATGTATTCCTAGGGTTTCTCTGGGCAGAAAATAAGCCTACCAGTTAAGTACCCAAAAACTATAACACTACACACCTGTGCTTTTCTCTACTTGCTTCGCCATGTCTCGACCTATGCCTAGGTGGTGATGATGATCGCCGCCTGCTTCTTGATACTGACCGTCGTCGCTTCAGTGAGCTGCGACTGTGTGACCTGCAAACAAATTCACAACAGGGTAGGTAACACCAGTGTCTCGCTATACTGTCATATTCACAAAATTTTTGTTTATTAAGGAATCTTTTTTGCTCTAACCATAAAGGTTACAAAGGGAGGGCCTTAATGCCAGTGTGCATTCTCTACCAGTCAACCTATAGCGTGGTGTAAAATTAGTGGCAGGTGAAATTTTATATTTACACTAAAAAGTCTGGAGTAAACCTTATCATTCGTTGCCGTCGTACCTACTGAAATAGGTAGAACATCTGCCAAGCTAGCTATAGTTATCAATAATATCAAAGAAAGATCTTAAAATGTTTGGGTTGCAACTGAAAGTAGAAACCTCTAGACAACCACAATCTCTGACTAAATGAAACTATAATTTTAAACTAATAATAAAAAGTAAGATTATACCTTAGATGTACACGGGTTTCCCTATGCCGTTCCCGTTCCCGTTCCCTACTTCGATGTCGCCTACGGGGACTCTTGCGCCGGTGGCCGCGACGCGGGCTGTATTCGCGACTTCGGACCGCCTCGTGAACTGGCGAATCTAGAAGCACAAAAGGAATTGTTCTCTGATTAATTGAGCATAAGATATATTGGTACAATCTTTATTTGATATACATTTTTTTTTAAATATTGTTATTAACTAGTTGTTGGTTAATTGTCAACTAAGGAGTTTAATTTTAAAAGTAATAAAACTTCAATGAATATATCAATATAATATAACGTCATAGTATCACAATCAAGCAGTCTATGAAAGTCTGTCAAAACAAGCTGAAACTGAAGGAGTTGTACTGAATAAGCTTTCTATAAAACAGCACAAATATTCGATGATAAACTATAATAAGATCAAGTTTAAGGGAGTTTTATATCATTTTCATGGACTTTGCTTTATTTAAACATCTGCTGAATTATGAACTAATACCTTTTATCTATTTAATGCAATCATTGTCCATTTGAATCTAAAAACTCATTAACTGACTGGATATCAAGTTAACTCTGTGCTCATTTTAATAAGGACTTTTGTTCTGTAATATAATTAACAATAAATTTTTACTATGTATGTAGAATAATGTACAAATTATTTTAAAAATAAAACATATTTTCTCTCTTTATCCATATATCACATATTCACAAAACATAAGTATTTATTTATAAAATAATTGTTTTTACTATGTGCAAAAGTTGACTTCTTTATAATATTTTAATTATTATGTAACCAATATTTTATTTACATCAACTAACAAATAAGAATATAAAAAAAATTACAAGACTGTGCAGCCAGGACTTAAATATAATGCCTACAGTGTATACAGTGAGGCACCCTTAGCTCTCATAATCAACGTGTCATAGGGCAACTCCGTTGACATGTATAAGTTGGTTACACTGCATGAGTATGCAGGGCGAGTGCAGTCTCCTCGCTAACACATCTCATACACGAATAACGGCTTCCCTCCAAGCGCATTTTTCATCATTGGGTGCTGTATACTAATTTTACTAACATAACTATTTTTTATGTAAACAAAAAAAGTAGTTTCATATTAAGAATTTTAGTATGTATCTTTAAATTATTTAGGAGAGGTGCCAAGAAAATGTTATTGCTCCAAACAGATGATTACATAATACTTTCAAACGCACATGTGATCAATATAAGGACACTTACTGAGGCAAATATATCATGTTCAAAACATAAAGATATCCCACCCATAATAAAATGACAGTTTCTTGTTAATTAGCATGTTATCTGGATTTTATTACACATATTTAAAATTTGCCCCAAATTAATCATAAAAAAAATTATCTTTTACAAATAATAATAGTATAATATTTATAAAAATACAGAGCACTAATGAAATATATTTTGATCTGGTAAATTTTGAAACATTTATTCCACCATCTATCAGATTATACAATATTTTCATGGCAACTCAATAAGTCTAGTGTACGCAAGGTTCTTAATATATTATTTTACACCACTGCTACAAAATAAAATACAATTAAAAGTTTGCAATAAAATGGAGCCAGACCTGATATGACCATAATAGGTGACTGCACTCTGTGATCTGTCCAATAATCCCTCCTCACACGTTCATAATCTTGTTCAGTATCAGAATCTATAGTAACAGTCTCATGGTATGGAGGCACGGACGGCGTATGGGGTGTCATCGATTTCTGTCTCCTTCTGCCACACAAAACAAAGGAATGTTTACTTATTAAAATTATCAGTACTATTTCTCCAAGTAAGAACTGTTTTATCTTACATTGATTAAATAATTGTTTTGAATTATTTTAGAGTACTAGTAATAGTATTAATATAGGCTTATTATGCTATAAAGTTAATTTAAAACTGTAGTCCTTGAGCGTGGGAACTTCTAATAGAACACCTACATTGATATTCATTACACAGACGCATCGCGCAATGTTATTATACGCACCCTGGACATGAATAAATTACTTTTAGTGCTTCGCACAAGTTACATATTCATCACACGTTCATCTCATAGGATGTTCATAAATGACACAAAAAACACGCATTGTATGTAGCCATTTCCAATTTATTGTGTCATTTGCTTGTCGCATAGCGAAGTCCGCGAGCCCGTAATGCAAAGCTGATGGCAAAGGGTGGGGGGGTCAAGGTGTACGCTTTCTAGGTATTATGTTAACTATATTTTTTTATTTATGAATAATTTTAAAATATTATTGTTTTGTGTAATATAGGAAATGTGGGTTTCATAAACGATCTTTTATTAAAAAAAAAGTTTAATACAGATTTAAACAATCACAGTGGTTTACTATTTATGCAGTATGTAACAAACAACCTGTTGGTCGTTTCAGGGACGTATAGGTGTAGTATGAACGGGATTTTAGCGTTTCTGATCAAGTAACTTACTAAATTTATTATTTCTAAAATTTTTATTTGTATCTGAACTAAACGACACGTGCCGACATACCCTACGGTCACTGTGAGGTCTCTGACACGGCTAATACAGCATTTCAAAGAGAGCTTTTGTGCTTTGTGCCATCACCAACGCTCTTTATTCTGCATATCAATCATATGTTGCAAACTGGTAACATTTATTGCTATGCAGACGACAGCACTGGTGATGCTTTATATACCGGCCGTGCCAATATTTCTCGGGAAAAAGTCGCCGAGTACCGGAACAAACTTGTGTCTGACACGTTCACGACTTTGGGGGCAACTAAATCAGTCTAGTTCAATCCCTAGAAGACACAATTTTGCGCGTTTACCGCAAAAAAGAATCCCTTTGTCCTATCCTCTCAGTTTCAAGGCACTGTCCTTGTTGCCTCAGCCTGTATCGGAATCCTCGGTGTCAACATACCGAGTGATGTGCAGTTTCATTGTCACTTGGAAGAGAAGCCAAATTGGCCTCTAAAAAGCTTGGCGTTAAGTTACTCCTACTCTTACTCTACTCTACTTACTCGAAGAATACAAATAATTTTAGCAGTCGTGTCCGACACTCGCGACCCACCCTTATGCCATCTCAAACAATAGATGTATCGACTTGACTCATCAAATCGGGCTACGAACGGATGTGCAATCACCTCGAAAATTGAGACGTCACTGAATTTTTTTCACGCGTGTTGTCTAATATAAAGCGAATTACGGAAAGCTATTACGCTTCATACTAAAATATATGGAAAACGGGGAACGATTTCTGCTAAAAAATTAATGATATTTAGGCTTAGATTATTGCTTTTTGATTTGAAGTAGTAAAAAAAATGAATGGTGAATTTATTATTTATACTTTTATCTCACGTTTTATTAAAAAATATTTTCTAAAATAATAACGAAATAGCCTGGAGATTTAAAATATAAAACGCCGTTTTAAGTGTTTTTACCATTGTTGACAAATTTTTTTCTTGAAAATCGTTTTTTTTTTATAAATATCAATATAATATGTTTAAGACCGTAACTGCCCATTTGCGCGTTTCGTAAGGACCAGCCTCTTAAGTCAAATGGCAGCAAACAACACATGAAAGTTTGTAACAATTTTTTTTGCAGACTCACTAGGATATTGATGTTATATAACATTAGATTTACATACCTATTCATTAAAATTATACTTATTGTTGATATGAAATTTGTTATGATGAAAGATGATTAATTTTCACAAACTTGAACTTGAAAAAGTCATTTATTACCTTATGTTAACACTGAAAGCATAGAAACAAAATTAAAATTTTATTTTGTAACACAACAGAGGATACAAAAATAAAAAAGCAGGCATTGGAAATTATTGTTATTTGTTTTAAAATATTTAAAAAAAGCCTTACTTATAACCATTGACTATCACTTACATTAGGTGTTAATAATATCTAAATCTCTATAACGGTCTCTTTTGAGGTAAACAATTTAGAATATGAAGATGGATGGATGAATGGAAACTAGAATTTAGAGGCAAAAAAGAGAAGTTTAGTACATAATAAAAAAATTATTTTACTGATGTAACATTAACTATTAGTTATTATTGTTATTATAATTGCAGACCATTCTGTGGGAAGCAAAGATAGAACCGACATGTGGGCGCCGATATATCGTTGTCGTGTCGGCAAATGAACAAGTGGTAAAATTAAAAATTTTGTAAAACCGACTTCAATATTAATTATTAAGAATAACTCAAAAAACTTGATCAAACCTTGATCAAATTTATATGGGACCACATGAGAAGCACCAGCTTTCCAATAAAAAAAGGATCATCGAAATCGGTTTACCCAGACAAAAGTTATGAGGTAACATGCTTACGCACGTTATGAGGTAACGATCAGGCGCGCGCACGCATGCTCACATACACACACCCCGTTTCTTTTTTGTTGAATGTATTTAGTTAAGGGAGGGCGAGGACCTTCTACCACAAGTATCTACTTAAATTAAAAGAAGTCCTCAAACTTGTACTAATTTATGAATATGTTGGAAACAATAAACTTTCATTTAATTTCAACACATAAAAAACATAGTCGAATTGAGTACCTCCTCCTTTTGAAATGTGTAGAAAACAGTCTCTTATCACTTAGTTTATTGTTTATGATGAGAAAGTCAAAAAGTGAAACCATATTTTAACAATATATGTAAATTATAGTCTCATCCATCCATCCATTACAGTCTATAAAAATCCACTGCTGAACATAGTCTTCCTCCACAGTTTGCCTCATATTGGGGATATTGCCATAGTTGACACGCCTGGCAAGCAGATTGTCAACCGCAGTTTTTAATTATTTTGAGTTGTTATCAGGAAGACGCTGCTGCCCATCACCAGTTTCAATTTCCTTCTGCCGCCTCTTATGACATCCGTGAGACAATAGAGTAGTGGATATTCTTACACGGCTTAAGTCAAATCTTAGCTTCAGTAAAATATTTCATTAAGTATTAAATAAATTTATGATATAGGCCTTGTAAGATGTGACTAGACAATGAATAAAGTTAAATAACTATTACAACAAAGAAATGGCAAATATATTTTCTTAAAACATGCTTCAAAATCATGCAATCACCTTACTAATACAGTTTTATATGAACTATCTTACCTAACTATTGGTGACCTTTCCCTGCGAGGTGAATACATAACAGCATTATGCAGAGACGGCTCTCTATGTACAGGAATCCGTATTTGTGGTGAGTCATCGTGTCTCCCCCTCATCAGTGGAGGCGTGGTAGGAGATACCGGTGAACATGAGCCATTCTGAAGAGGAGATGATGCCTTCTCCCATTCACTTATAGGCACTTGTTGGTATCTCTTTGGGGTTGATGGACGTATTGGAGTCTCCACTGGTACATTATCATCAGGGGATACACTTTCAAGACTAGCTGACCTTGACCGATGTTTTGACTTCTTCTTACGTTTCTTTTTCTCTTTCTTACGCTTCTCTTTTTTCTTCTTATAACAGGAGTGTTCATCGAAGTCTGGCTCAGCTTCCACATATTCCAGCTCTCTTCGTTTCCTCGATACTGCTGAAGAAGAATCACGTGTGAGAGGATATTCTTCAATTGCACGACGGCTTGAAGTAGTTGTAACAGATATTGTCTTGTTGTCTAAAAATGTGCGTACTGGGTGGGATTTTCTTGTACGGTCAAGATCATCAGCGATGTGTCGACCAATTGAGCTAGCCTCACTCTCTATTTCTCCAGCCTCTGGGGCTGACAAATCCTCTGAACTTACGTCAGAGTATTCTACAAGGGGTTTATTAGAATTTACTGTAGCATAAGATTGTTCATGTGTACCACTAGAATGACTTCTATATTTTTTGTGAGCCCGTTTCTTATGCTTCTCCTTGTGATGTTTGCTATGTCGCTTATCATAGCTCCGTTCCATGGTTAAATAGGGGCGGAGTGACCGCCCAAATGCCGCCTCTTCACATTACACCAACTGAAAAACAGCAAAGTAATATTTTATTTTTTGTTTACAGAAACTATAATTACCTACCATCCGAAATGATTAATTAATGGAGCGGAAATTGATAGATAAAAATGACCATTTAAAGAACCAAAAGTTACAGTTTTTAGAAACTTATTTATATCGATAAAAAAATCCTACAAAGATTGCAGAAGTATGCAGTCTAAAAATTAATTACAATCACGGGTCAATAATCAAATAAAATTCCAAGGTTGTTTCTAACCAAAAATAACATTAATTAATAAAAGAAAACGATATAATAAAAGTTGAATAACTTACCTGAAGAAGAAACGGACGTGAGTCCGCCTCGATCACTATAATTTGCATTTGAACGAAATTCTATATTGCTTAGATAAGGTTCTTATTTAGTACGTTTAGACTGGATTTATCCAGACAATATATAAGTATTTAGTTTCTTTAAAGCTTATGTAGCCCTATTTTGCTATTCATAATCATAGGTAGTGCATAATTCATATAATTACATCGGATTATTTTATTGGGAATTCAAGAACGTCGATTGAATTGCTAGTCAGCCATTTGCTTTTTCATTTCATTTCATCATCCTTCCCTACTAGAGCTGTGAAAATTCAAATTGTTACCAGGATGAGATTCGAGTAAAATTCGGAAGTTATGTACTATAATTGATACCGGTTTATGAAATGAAAAATTTTAAGATTTATATAATTAAAATTTATAAAGATATTATAAAAGTCAATTTAAAAAGTAAAACTATAAATAAATATGTTTATGCCAACAATTAGATTTAAAAATAATTAAACATTTGTACAAACAACTTTAATATAAATTATTAAGAATAACTCAAAAACTATTGGTCAGACCTTGATCAAATTTAAATGTAATCACATGAAAAGCACTAACTTTCAAATAAAAAAAAAGAATCATCGAAATCGGTTCATACAGAAAAAAATGTGGTAACACACACACAAAAAAAAGAAAAACATATTCGAATAAACTACCGTCTCCATTTTGAAATCGGTAGAAAATAAAGAGTATTTATGTACGTATAATTTTTAATCACACATTTCACATCATAGATAGGTAACTAACCTTCTCTAAATGCATGTTGGTTTTAGTTTTTGTTAAAAAGCTTTATACATACGACGATTTTGTTGGACAACCTACAGACGACGGTAAAAATTGAGGTTTTCATAAGTCAATATTTACAATTCTCGAGCCACAATTGGGACGAATCCATCTTCACCAACTGTGCGTGTGAGCTTATTATAGTGGCCGTTAAGTTATGGTAATCACAAATTCACGGTACCTAAAAATTTCGACCGGCAGCCGGCACATGGATCACTAAGCGGAAATCATGCAATCGTGAAACTGTGGCTTGCTGAAGCCACTGGTTTCTCAAATGGGCTACAAAGTTGCATTTTGTGTGTGTCCATGTTCTTACTTAACATTTTCACCCCTCTTATTTCTCTGGAAATAATAATCGAAACTTTTAATTGCGTAGGAGGCATGGTAAGTTATAAAAATAGTTTCCTTTTATGTATGAACTATGTATGTATATCTGTGTGCGCAGATCAGTTGTCAAAGCATATTTCCCGTTAAATAAAAAATAAACTAAATGCCATTTTATTACCTGTATATTTTATCTGAGTGTGGTGTGGTGTTAGTCTGTGGGTGTTAGATATTTTTTATCTGTAATCTGTAGATTGCGTGTGATTTGCTTTGCGTCCTTCGCAGCTTTATTTTGTTCTAATAAAAATCAAATTATCTGTACAGTTCAGCCTTAGCTAATAATTTAATTAAAATTCTAATGACAACTGCAACGTTTTGTCTCATTCGTTGAGAATTATTACTGTAACTAAATAAGTCGACCCATAAGTTCACGGCATCTTTTACTTGCGCATCGTGAAATTATTCAATAGAAGTAATAGAAGTAATGTACTATTTATTATAAAACGTAAATGTGTTTATTATTTTAAATATACTTATGCGCAAACTTATGAACGTGTGTTGTAAAAAATATAAATCTAAGTTTAGTACTATGGTTATGTTGCTGAGAGAGTCAATGAACCTACGTGCGGCATGCTGACACTGTGACTTTGTGACTAAAATATGTAAATAATCATGAATGATATAGGCGTTAAAATAGCAGAATCTCCGAAGGATTTATCGGGGGTTTCTCCTGCGCCAGAAATTGGTGTCGACAATGAAGTCGATCCCTTGTCTATAGATGACTCCGAAGCAAACACTGCAAAGGATCCCTTGAATGTAGAAGATAATGTTGGAATAGAGGAAAAGCCGGAAAGCTGTGATGAAATTGCCAAAGAAGATAATTTAAGTGAAAGCAAGACTAATGATAATGACACTTTACAATCAGAGAAGATAAAAGGTATAATAATTTTGCTTCTCAAATTTTAACTAGCTCCTTAATTAATTTCTCATACTGCCTTTATTCTTCTTTTCCTTATTGTCATTCATCTTTTAGTACACCATCTGGTATATGGTTAAATTTGTAGAATGCAACAATTATTCATTAAGTATACATATACATGTACATAAACACTCATGCCTGTCACCCAGAGGGGTTGGCAGAGTCTACGGACTTCCATTTGGCACGATCCTGAGATACCTCTATCGCCTCCTTTACATCCATATATTTACGCATGTATGCTCATAGGTCAATATATATATATATTTTATATACATTTTAAGTCCAGTAAGTCAAGTAATTTTTCTTCTAGAATCAAGACATAATATAAAGCACTATGTCCTATTATGATTACTAGGTGGTAGGACTTACTTAGGGCCGATATACACTTCGATAAGTACAGTAGCAAGTTTAGTTTCAGGGCAGTTGACAGTAAACGGTTAAGTGGACAGTAGCGTTCAAATGTCTTCAAGGTGAGCTTAGTTAAAAAAGTGCAATTTTATACTTTGAGGGTCAAACGTGAACATGTTGTGTTCTGTCAAATTATACACTGAACTGAACTTGCTCGTTTACACAAGCAGCGGAAGATGCGCAGGTTGGCAACACTTCGAACTTAACTCACCGAAAAATAGACCGGTCGGCTATCCTGTTCAACTTAATTCTTAATTTCCTACTTAACTCACTGATTGCCATTCAAATAAGATTTTTTACTTCTCTTGCCACGATTGCAAGTTAACTCGCTGCTGTACTTGTCAAAGTGTAAATCTGCCCTTATTTCTGTTGCCAAATACCTGGTATTGCTTGCACTGCTGTTCCAGTGTAAAGGGAATAGAGAGCCAAAAGCTTTGAGACATTCCATCTTAGTTCTCAAATGTGACAAGCTACCTGTAGCCTATGTTTGAGGTGGACTGTAAATTTGTCACTGCAGTTTTATAAACAAAATGTTTTTTATAAATAGTGTTATTATTAAGATTATTTTATGGCAATAATATTCAGATATAGAGAAATGGGAGAACATAATTATTTTTTTGAATGAGCTTAAATTGTAAAGTCTCTTTCACAATTTTTTAAATTGTAAATTGTGGTATTATTATCAGTATAATAAAAAAAACAGCAGTGCTAATATTCCCATTATCACTCCAGTCAAGTTTAAAATGTTTGTGCTAGAAATGGTTTGCAACAATAGTCAATTACTAGATTCAATCATTTCAAATTTCATAGCCCATACTCTTAATCATTGGGCTTTTGACTATTAAAAGGAATTATAATATTTCCATCACTAAGTAAATAAATCATTAGTGATTAAAATCTGCTGTACTGCACAAAACCTCCTCTTACAATGTTGTTGTTATACCCTTATATTTTACAATGCCTTTACATTTTTTGGTGGTACCACCAGTACCACCAGGTGGGGTGGTATTTTATCATTAGTCTGGTATGGAAAAAAACTAGGGAATGCAATCCACCCAGCTCCTGTTGTCACTTTTAAATCAAACTTTAACATATCTTTTTACATTTTATGAATTTTTCAGAAGTTGTAATAAAAGAAAATAGTCCTATAAATTTGGTAGATGATAAAAATGTGACAGAAGCAGTAATTATTGATGAGGTAAAACCATCTGAGCCAGCTCCTGACAATACAATCAGAGTGCCTAGTGAGATTAACCAGCTGCCCCAGGAAGTTAAAGATTCCTTTACTATATCTAAGGTTAAGGAGAACAGTCCAGTAAAGGAGATTCCTTCAGTAGAAGCAGAGGAAGTGAAAGCTCAGCAGACTGACATTGATGTAGAAATGACCGAGGTTGTAAAATTGAATGAAAAGATTGAGAAAGCTGAAGCTAAAATAAACATACCATCGTTAAATGGAGATGTTATTAAGGTACTTTATATATTAAAAGAGGTTATAGTTGTAACCGGATATACCAACATCACTTAGAATAAAGGATAGGTAATGAGTTGTTCTTAAATCCTATCCGCTCAACAGTAAATGCCATTGCAGATATATAATACTGCCGGGCCAAAAAAGTTTTATATTTTACTTAATTCATGCTTTCTTGTATATGGAAATAATGATGTGGTTTATACAAAAAACTATAATAAAAGCGTTTTTCTCACTTAAGTTTATATTATATATTATAATATATAATATTAGTGCTAGAAGGAAAGTAATAAACTTGTTAAAATTATCGTAAAAAAAGATATTTAAAATGCAACAAAAGTGAATGAAAACACACAAAACTATGTGCAAATATTAAAGATAATTTACGTTTTCATCAAATAATAAATAAGAAAACACTAAATACGAGATAAAATGAACAAGCACTGAATTGGGGCGATTTAAATGACAATTTTCGACTGCCAATATCTTCCAATTTGTCAACGAATTACAGAATAAAAATTATTTGTTATCTATCTATGTCTATCAACAAACCTGTTCATAAATATGAACAGTTTATGAAACCGGCAACACAGTGAATTAATCGAGATCCACGGTGCCTGTATGGACAGTCCTGAG